CTATCAAGGAGGATTAAAAATGCCCGAACTACTGATATGTGAATTCCTTTAAACCAGGTTAAGCGTAACCCTACGCGTTAATTTAGCCTGACCGGTCAGTAGGCACCCCGCGGACCGAGTCCATGGGAAGCGAGTTATTGGATCTATGAAGAGTATGTATATCGAGGGTAGTGGGTAATAAAAAGTGATAGATGGTGGCAATAACAACGCTTTGAGTATTAGATTTTCGATTTGTAGTGGGATCGGAATCGCTACTTAGACTACCTATCCTCAGGGGTGTTGTTGGGATGAGAGCGATATGGGGTCGTACATACATAACCGTAGAACTATGGAGGGGTCTAGTCTAGGAATTAGGAGCGCCATTGAACCGAAAGGAGCAGATTACCAATTCGGGAAGCTCGTGGGGAAAACATAACGGTTAGGCCCTCTCGATCGGCTCGCTGAAGGAACCCTCTTTTGTTGGCGGTCACCTCGACTCCTGAATCGTACTGTGTAAGAACCTTGTAATCCGATCAGGCCATTCATTAATTGATGACAATGGAAAAGCCATTTCAACTGGTCAAATCGACGGGCCATCCCACAAATTAGTATCTTCGGATATTTAGGGCCACTGAACCAGGTCAAATTTTGGCAAGACCCCGAATTTAATCGTCGCTAAGGGCGCTAAGCAGAAAATACATAAAGAAAATTGCGAGACGATGAATCATAACTCAAATTGTTGAAAGGGGTATTACATATCTGCTTACGAGACCTCGAGCGTCCGTCAGTTCTTGCTAACCCGAGAACATCCGGTTCCTTTACATTAGTAGACCGTAGCTATGGTATGGGAGGTATGCTGATACGTATGAAGGATAAAACGGGGGAGTGGAGAGTGAACGGTTGCGTGTTGGAGATGTGGATGGCAGACTTGATGTGGTGGTCTACAAGCCTAGGCTATCCAGATACTCGGGTTCCGGTTGCGATGACTTATTGCGCTATACCATCTTGCCCGGTTCCTAGGTATATTGAACAAATGCATTACGCTCTCTAATAGCCGCCGTACTGATGAACCATATCGTTGGGTGGCATATTTGGAGTTCACATCCACGTGAGCTTGGATAGCGAACCGCTAGTGGATGGTGTTCCCTTGTTTTCAGTAGACTTAAATGTCAATTATGCATAGAAATCCCTGCTTACGAGGTGCGAGATGCCAAGCCTACGTAGACGGTTAGCTCTTTTAGATCAGCGCTCGCGGCGCTTCTTGCATGCTGCAGGAGAGACGTTTTTAATGTGCTGCGTTGTCCTATACGTAAGGGGTGGTGTGAGGTAATGGCGGGCGACTGTTACAAGCACCGGGTCTGATGATCAATATGTCGAAAACGGTACTGGCGAGAACTAAGCGGGAGACATATCAACCTGAAAGGTTCTGTTCTAGAACTATTTCCCGCGGACCACGAAATAGACCGGATGGCGTCAGATAGGCGATATGTACATACACATGTAGCTCAACCGAAGTATCGAAGTATCGCTTACTGTTTGACTGGGATCTTGATCTCGTCCATGAGGCGACAGGCAAGGGGCTGGTACATTTCCATGTATGCATGCGCAAGATTTGGCTCGCCGTAAGGCCAGATTCGAACTTGGGGAAATTCCTCTCGCTTCGGTACTTATTAACCGAATGGAACTCGAAATTCGATCAGTTCGTTTTGTCATGCGGTCAGTTTCAATTATTTACGAATTACGAAGGGTTCGGCAGGCCAAATAGGGGCCCTGAAGTAGGTTGATGCTTGATGAGACGACCCCAACAAAGTATACTCCATAGCCATTAGCTCTTATATGTATGTGCGGACTTGTAGTCTTCGATAGCTGTGTAACGCTTCTATGTCGGTATGAACTGGCGGTATCCGCGCTGTGAAGGGGATATTTTTGGATACCGTTGCACCATATGAAGTATTCCTTCGAAGGGCAGAACAATGCTACATGACGGTGTTTACCACATGTAACGACAGAAAACCGCATACGAAGGATCCGAATATATGTTTTATATCTCTTTTCTGAAAGAAAGAAAAGATGACAGCTAGCAGTTGTAGTTGCTTGTCATTTCTTTTGCTCGAAATTAAAAGAGGACGATGTATAATCGGCGATAAGCAGTTAATAATAATAAGAGCATATTCAAAGAATCGGTCCGTGCTTTTCCCTTTTCGCCCAATATTAATCCGTAAAAAAATAAAAAATAAGATACCATCAATGGTAGGTAGTGACACGTTAATGCGTTATACTTACACGTATTCATATGTGTCCCTTTCTGGTTGTTCATGGGTCTAGAGGGATCGTATGTACCTAAGGTAGGTAGACGTGTAGGTAAACGTGTATGAAGCGGTCAAAGTCAAGATGAGGCTCGTGCTATTCAAGAGCGCCTAAAGAATTAATATGATTTGAAGTTTGAAACGTACCTGGAGCCTCAAGTTTCAGAAATTGACGAGATTTAGACTTAATTGAGATGTGGGGAGGAAAAAGAACTCATAACCGTATCTTAAAAGTACCTTAGGTACCTAACCTAGGTACCTTACCTACCTGTCTCCCGTGTGCAGTAGCTTCCCATACTGCCATGGAGAAGAATAGGTGGGTGCTATGGGTGCTGTGGGGGTCATGATACCTAATGCCTTAGTGCATGTAGGTACCTAATCAAACGGAACAACACACTTGTGAAATAGGCGGTTCAGACGGCAATAAACTCCGACGTTGGCTTTGTGCTTAGGTCTTTGATGACCTGTCTCTTTATTTTTATTCTAGTCATATTCCTTCCTGTTACAACACAACGATGACATAGATGACATAGGGGTAGATATCTTATTCTAAGCAAATTGGAAGCGTGCCTTTTGTGTAAATGTATTATTATGTGCCTTACTGGGTACTACCTAGGTATATTGGGTATGTAGGTTGTGTACCTAACATATCTGAGAACGTTTGAAGGATGGTGGATTCAATCGATGTACCTAAATAGCTGCAAGGTGACGACTGTTAAAAGTATGGAGTTGGCAAGGTTAAACGCAAATGTAGATTTTGGTTCCCGCTGATTACTAGCAGGCACCACCCTGTAGACCCTGCTCTGGTAGTTAGATTTCTAGGGTACCACCCTGAAAGCCCCTCAGCTTTGGCCTTTTCGATGGTAACTAGACCATTCGGGTTTTTATCTTTTCGAATTAACGGCCGCTTCCTAAAGCGAGGACTGTCGCACCACTGACTGTAGTAAAATTCGAATGGAACTTTTATAATGCTGTTTGGTTGTCCTCATTTCATTGATATACTGGTATATAATATAAGTCTTTAATATCATGGACTCGTTTCCGTTCTCTATTATTAATGACACATAGCCCGTAAGAGGTTCATATGTGTTTACCTAATTAATTGGATTGAGTCTGTCAATGCTAGACGCGACATGGTCAATTCGATAGCGGCTTACAGCCGCGAATAGATAAGCACAGAAATTGGATCTCGAATTTTCACCGTCTCATTCTCAGAGTCTTGGAGAAAAAGGGGGAGGGGGATAATAAGTTCCTTATGGGGATCGAATCATCAATGACAGCTGTCATTTGTGTAAGTGTGTGTGTGTAGAATACCTAGGTAGAATGCATGTGCCTAATGAGGTATGTAAGTACTGGAACTCTCATCGAATAGGTAGAAGGGACGACGAAGGATGTATGTACACATATAATGGCAATGTGTGTTCAGGATTTCTTTGAACCACTAGGCCTATTACGGCCTCATTCCCTTCCCCACATGTATTTTATCCTACCATCTTAGTCAACGTTGCCTCTTCAGTAATGGTCCCCTGGTAGTAAAATTTCCCTACAAGGAAGAGGATGATGTCCACCCTACAGAAGAAAGAAAAAACGTCTCGAAAAAATCCGCAGGACCAACTATGATTAACCAGTGAAATACTACCTAATCTGTGCCCCATTGAAAATCATCACCATCGTCTGGTCCACCATTGCGCATGGAAGTTTACAAACGTTGTAAATAATACTGGAGAGTCCAGCAAGGACCACACCAACGGGATGCTAGGTAAAGTTCTTACCTGCCTACCTAGGTACATGTATGTACGTCTCGAGATACATATATGGACGTATGTAGGTACTTGGATCTCGTACTTGTAGGTACTCGCTAACCAAGTAGCCCAGTAAATAATTTATGAGGAAGGAGGTAGCATCACCGTACTAGATAAGTATAGTACACGGAGTACGGGAAGTACCTCTTAACCCCCCCAATTCCCCATTCTGACCCGGTCTGGTTGATCAACTACAACTTGTCCCCCCTCCGATAATTTCTCTTATTAGGTACTCTCCTATTAATTACTTGAAGGTAGCCATCTCCCGTTACCGTTGCCGCCTCCCTTTTCTTAATCCACGTCTCGTCTTCCGTCGCGTGTGTGCAGCGCAATTGTGTGGTGCAGTCTTTTTTCTTTTTTCAACCTCATTTTCTTATCTTCTTCCTCATAGAACCAGAACCTGGCGAATATCCCTTCGCTAAGCTAACCGGGTGTCGCCTAAAGAAGTAATATTTGGGCTAAAGATTTCTGGTAAGTTGCGAAACGAGAGACATTTTATTGCATATGATTTTTGTTGTCAATTTTCTCGGTTTTTTTTTCCCGCCCCCTCTCGCGCGACCACTACCGAACTCTTTGCGTTTACGCGCTTGGAGGGGAATAAAGAGACAGCGACATCAGTACCCGAGGCGGGAGGCCTTTTAGAGTTTTTTTTTTTTTTTTTTTGTTGTTGTCGGCTGCTGTCAATACCGGCCTTGATCCCTACAGTCGGATTCAGAACAATAAATTCATGAAGAGGGAATGCCCGCCAACAAGGAATACGGAAACCACTCATGCCTATGATTACTCTTCCTACCTTAGCCATCAGACGTCGATTTATTTAGCACAATATACTTAGTGTTGTTTATTATCCGTGCCGTTGATTGTCAAACTACCAAATGGTCATGGCAAAGCTAACCCTAAATATATAGGAGAATCAATAGTCCCTTGCGTCAAAGACGTTGTCGACTATCCACCTGAATTTCGATAATCTACCTAATCAAGATTCAACTATCGACGTCAAGTCAACCTCAAAAAGTGGACATAATGTCGCAGCAATACTACGGAGATTCTCAATGGGCGGGCGCCGGTCCATCCCAAACAACTTGGGATCATCAGACTCCTCCGCCGCCACCAGCGCGATCTGGTAAGTCCCAAGATCGATTATAGTGATTATCTAGGCCATATTAGTTAACGCGATTATATTAGGTGCGAGCTCTGCCATCCCACGCGAAGTCGAGTCGATCGCATTTGCCTACCAATTTGAGGGTACGTAAAAAAGAAAAGAAAAAAAAGAAAAAAAGAAAATAGAACGTAGACGGAATAAGAAGCGCACGTATCAAGACATTTCGCACGGCCGAAATCTTCGTCGAAACATTCATCGTTGATATCGGTCTAAGCAAATCGTACACGCGTGATAATGCCTTATCCTCTACGATTGTTCTTATGGCTACATTTTTATACTGACGAAATTGGTTTGCAGAGGTTGAGCGAGCTGTCGATAATCTGGTTAAGAGCGGGAAGTTGTACGGCCCGCCAGGGCGACGTGAGTTTACCCCGATGATGGCTCTAAAACGAAACAAGGCACACTGAATATGTCACGGAGATTGGGTGGGAGTTCGTCTGGGAATTGGTACTAATTGCCATGTAGATGGACGGGCTGCGTCTGGTCATGGCCCGCGGCCGCATTCCGTGGAGTTTGGCGACCCGCGAGCCGGCCACCCTGGTCCGAACCTGCAGAATTTCTATGCCGCGCAACGACACCAGCCTTCGCGCGGTTCCAACGAGGCGGAACAAATGATGCAGGCCAAGCGGAGGATGGCGGCTCAACGGGAGCGAGAGCTTCGCAACTATCATCAAGAGCAGCAATTTAACCGAAGTAGGCCGCCCTCTTCTGTATAGCACAAAATTTGCATCGCAAATCAAGAAAAGAAAATTCTTTCGGCGGGGTCAATCTGTTCCCTATTTTCCCTGACTTCACACGCGATGTTTCTACTATGTCTTGAATCCATGTAAACCCTGTTTCGATATGTTACCATGAGTCCTCGGATCACTGCACATCTGACATACCCTTGCGAAGAGACGCTAACTCCCCGTCTTTACAGATGTTCTTTCTGATGTTTCTTATAACAGCAAGCCTGATCGCGCTCTAAGCCCTAGCAGCATGTCCGAAGACGAACGTCGTGATTTGATCGCACGCCAGCGTAGTGCGCTTTTCGGTGGCGAGGGTAGCTATCCCGATGAATCCAGCGTGACTCGATCCGGAGTACCTGGCTTGCCTACTGGTACCTCTGGTCACCGTGGCCCTTCCCCCTTAGCTTACGACTACGGACGACAGGGCGTTTCCAACGCCTCCGAAGGCGCATCGCAGCCTAATGAGACGCAGGGTCTCTCCCGTGCTAACAGCAACGCCAGCCCTCAGTCGAACCCGCCGGCTAATATGGGTATCTTCGATAGCGCTGTCGGCCAGCAAGCTAATCGCACCAGCAACTCATCCCCAACTGGTGGATCCCCGCCTCGGGCTGGAGGCATCCCTAAGCCGGGTCAGAGCGGGAACGCGGTAGCCCCTATCGGCACTCGTCCGTCGGCGGCTTCTCAGGCTACCAATCCGGCCTTGAACAAGCGTTCGACAACTCCTTTGCCGTCGCCGTTAAGCCACGGCTTCACTGCCTCGAGCAATGGAGATGACATTAACCAAGGCGTCTCAACTACTTCCGCTCCTTCTAACCCGCCTAGTGCTGCAGCAGACGGATACAACGGATGGAGCAACCGCTCGGGTGTTTGGGGAAGCAAATCAAACTTGGGGGTTCAGGCTAGCGTTTGGGGTTAGGAAACAAAGTGGTGTCACGGAGACCTAAGCGATGAGGTGCTAACCTGAGCATTCATGGCTAGAGATACCATCAAGGGTGAATGATTGAATTGGCACAAAATCGGTGTTCAGGTTGATTAGGCATGGGGTGAGGGATACGTATATCCAGCATCAGCATGGGTGTTCAGGCCTTTGACGACACGGAAACAAAGATTTGGTAAAACAGGGGCGGAAAACAATTTTTCGTTTTGGAGTTATCTGCGATTCTGCTTTTTCTACGACCTACGATACCTCCATTTCTCGAGCCTTTCAACTAACAGGCATTGCAACACCCCTCTACAAGAACGAATATATAAGGCGGCTTGGTTCCTTATTAGCACCTGCAAAGGTTGGGCTGGATGGAAGCACCGAAAAGAGCGGACGGGAAATTCTATGAAAATGACATGGCAAATGGTGCAAGGTTAGGGACAAGGGCAGTGGCGGTTTGTGTTTGCGGTTGCGATCTTTTCTCTCGGTCTTTGGTTGCGTGTCGGAATGGAAATCCCCGGGTCGAAATATTTTCCCATTAATGCGATATTACAGAAAACAGTTGGAGGTCATATAGGCAGGACTCGATGGTTTATTGAGGGCAATTCGGAGTTGCGCTGGGTGGACCAGGGGGCGCTGCCTGCCCTCCAACTGTTGTATTAATCTCAACAATCGAAGGGGTTTGGATGGATGAAAGGGCATCAACTACATCAGGGGTGTTTTTTTGTCGGCGGCATGGCGGTGTTTTTCCTCACGTTGAATTTTAAAATGGGCCGGCTAATGGAAGATGGTTGCGCGTAGAGTTTGGCTTTTTTATCATCGCGTCTATTTCACGGTGCCTTACGTGTAAGCATTAGGGAGAGATACATTGCGCTATCGTGGTGGTAGGTAGGTAGGTGGTTGCGTCCGCATGAGGGAGTTTAGCACATCGATCGGGCATCACAATCTGGTAAAATGGACAGGCACATCTATGGCATTATACTGGGTTATGAGCTTCTGGGTTTTGGGTCATTTCCGTGATATGTACCTATGATCTACGCGCCGTGACCAGTCCAGTCCGTCTGAGACCTCGTTGGTTGAATTTGAAGCCAACCTAGGTTGGTACCTGAGTAGGGTGGGTTATAACTTATAAAGAGCCATCGACGTATGTGTTTAGTAAGCCTTCTCTATGAAGTTACCTTGACTACCTAGTTACTTTATATTTAAGTTAGTGAGTCTACGCATTAGCTCTACTCCCCCTTCCTCGATGAGATTATACTACGGTACTATATGCGTACCTCACACTACGAACGAGTTAATGAGGTCTACATGATAGACCAAGAATCAGGAGTAATATTAAATGCACCCCGTTTCATAAGGTCACGAGGAAAGGTATCAAGGATTAAGTTCAAGCCTATTTGGATCCTACTATAATATTGCTTGGAGGATGGAGTAAAATGAACCCCATAAGAGTCACCGTACCATATGGATACTGGGGAAAGGCTAAGCACACGGGTTACGAATGGCACATTAAGAGGTACCTATACTTGAATATTGACTATCAAAGGTATTGCTCGAGATTTCAAGCAAAGGAATTTTACATGTTGAGGCTAGATAAGCTACGAAAAGAATATGACAAGTATGATTGAGCTCGTTTATACGAGTTTCGTGTGTGATGGACTTAAGAGTCTAAAGATGAATTATATCTTTTCCCATTCCCATTCCCATTTTCCTTGGTATAAGCTTACAGAGCCTTGGCTTTTCATGCTAGACTAATACCCTCTCCCATATGTACGAGGCAATCTAATGGCTTGGGTAAGTTGTTTCTGAGTAGATACCTACCTACCTTATATGGATTATGTGCGTCTCCTCTCTCGAGTCTTTGAGGGTCTGAACTGGGAGTCCAAAGTCGTTCAACTGATAGGTCTAGTGTGAGCAATCGCGACATCTTGCTTTTCATATAGTGGCTTTTTCATACTCGAATGATGAAGGCCATGCTTTATAACTAGGTGTGTACTTTCGAATGTCTTGGTAGTTATATGTTTAATTATATGCGAGTAAAGACTCTAGCCTAGTTGACTATCGGTATTTCGCTCCAAGAATCTATGATGAGGCCGTGAGAAGGGAGCTAAGTCGTGCCTATTTATTTGCTACTTCGGTGTGTAAGGGGTACTTACCAAGGGACTAATGTATGTAATCGACCGAAGTAATCAAAAACTTCTTTTTTTGATACTCAATGTTGCTGATAACTTGTGGTTGTTCCGGAACATTCTAGGCTGTTGCTGGCGCATCACTCTTGGTACTTCCTTTAATCTACGTTGTAGTATGTTAACCGCATCTGGCTTCGTAAGAGATGGAACGCGATAATCATATTAAACATTGATGTACTAGCTTGACTACATACCTAGGTAGTTATGGTCATCCCTTCTCATTACCCAAGTTAGAGTGCTTATGAGGGCTAAGAGTAATATATGAGTATCCTTATCGTACTCACCCACGTTCAATTCAATTTAGCTACCTTAGGTAAGGTACCTAACCTATGTAAGCTATAGGTGCGGCGTGGATAGCTTCGTCTTCTAAAATGAAATTTTTTTTTTTCAATACATCGTCTTACCATAAGGGCCTTCAACATCATTTTGAAGATCGTCTAGCTTAAATACTTGGTATCTGGTAATACTATTTAAATTGCAAATTTATGTAAAGTATAAGTCTTATAAATATCATATCGCGTGTATTTAAATGCGAGGTTACTGATGCGGTGCTGTATGTGCTTGGAACTTACTGGTAGGTTTAAACTTGGGGGAAAAAACAAACGCCCTTTATTGTAGAGAAAGTTAAGATAGTTTAGCCATACCTTTTATGTATATATATGTTCATGAATTCTTTCTTGGGAACATGATTTTCAGTCTAGCCTTCAACATGGGACTCGTGATTCCCATGATACGAGGGGGAGTAATCCCCGAGTTATGGAGCCGCTTGGTCCCAGCTTTAACTTAGCGAGATATCGTCAATTGTACCCCGGGGATGATCAGTGGTCGGCAGGATAGGAATAGGCTGTGTTGCTCACCGCCTACACATACGCCCACCCCATAGGCCTAGATTAGGAGACTTCATACCCCTTAAATTCATGTCATTTTACGTCTCATCAATACTGGTAGTACAAGTTATTATATTCATTTCGTTCATTCATGCGCTCATTACACTTCGGCATATCCTAGTCGGTTGGTTGGATCCCAATCACCGTAGCTGCGGCACTTAGATCCATCATATCGTCCGCGCGGAGTGCTTTCGTAGCCCATATTACCACTCCGTGCCCGTCGATAGCAAACAAACCAGACTGCTGCCATTTATTCCCCATGACTGTTGACGGCCCCTCGCCTTCATCTGCCGACTCGGTGCTAGGAGCGCCTTGTTTGAAGCTGCTCGTCCGCTGAACGGAATTAGCTACTTTTATGCCCAGCCAACCCTTCTCCTTCCAGCCCTGTATTTGCGTGGTGGGGTTGAACATGTACCATATACTTCCTAGCCCTAACCCCCACGCGGCGTAGATGGCGCGGTCTTCGTCGATGACTACTTCGACGTTCCACGCGCCGCCCAGTATGTCAAGCCACTTGCGCGTTGCATCTCGTGAAGAATGTGACACGGCTATGCATCTCAGTCTGCCTTGGTTTTTTATGGCGAGGTCTCTGAGAGCTAAGAAGGACTTTTGCGCAACTGTGATTTCAATCTAGTTAGTATTAAGCGGGTGTGTGACAGTGGGGGCCGAGCCATACAGGCGCATCCTACGCAGCGGAGGAAGAGAACTATGGTTGGCTTTCCGCCACCGAAGGAAAGTTGGCGATCTCTATCAATGGGAGCTAGGTCACCCGGTTTAGGACACTCAGCGACGGGAACCGGCGGAGGAACTGGCGATAACCAGGCTTGCGCAGTAAGGGGAAGTTTTTTTGTACTCATCCAGGCCGGCCAGCCTGAATTAGACCCTTCCAAGTCATCGAGACCTGGCACGGAACCGTCGTTGGGTTTGCTGGATTTGGACGAAGAAAAGTCTAGAGCGTCGCTCGACAGCCCAACCTTTTTCATCGCCAGCTTCGTAGTCAAGCTTGTAAACATCTTGAATTCTCACGATCTGCGCTAGAAGAATAGGGTAAATGAAATCAATGCAATAGTAAATGGGTAGAGAATAGGATTACAATAGCTATACAGTATAGATCTTATGAGAAACGTCAAACGAAAGAAACGTGCCCGGCGCCAGGACACAAGGCTGATGGAACTCCTTGATACAGGGACCGTCTCAACCATTTCTGGTGATTTGAGGCTAGTCTGAAGATTAAAACCCCTGGCTGGACCCCTTGAATTTCACGAGGCTGATGCCAAGCATGCGTCGAAGGCTTGTGAATTTAGACTAATCGGGATTGGTAACAGTTCAATTGCGGTAGCAGATACGCGGGGTTGGCCAAGAGCTTGAGACGATCCTGGCAGCCCTGGTTATTGAATTCCTCCGTCTTATGCATACATGTGTAGAAGAGGACGGATAAATCTTCTATCGTGTACGGCGCTTCGGTGCTCTCAGCCCCTGAACAACTGGTCTTTAAATGGAGACCGAGCCTGCACATCGTAACCTTGGAATACTGGTGGTTTCAAGTTAAGACATGGAAGTCTTTTACAAGAACTCGAGGGTGTTTCTTTGTCGACGACATGCTCGCCGTAGGAGTTAATTTCGCCAGCGGAAGAGGAATTGCGATGAGTCCTCGGAGTTCTAATTCCGCAGCAACAAGATTTCGGACGTCAAGAGCACTTGGTAGTTAATATCTGCACCTCATTATTCCGACCATTGTTGTGTTTATGATTATTCGATGGTGATTATATGAGGGTAGCTTCCCAGTGACAAATGATTCATCGTAAGACCCGAGCTTCAGCACAGAATAGCTAGGCCTCCAAGTCTAGAACGCTTAGTTATTGTCCCGGCTAGATGTCGGTAGTATCAAGGAAATTGTACTTTGAATTCTTCCATATCTATGTTGCCAAAAGGAGACAACATGGGTTGGTCCGGTGGATCGAAGTAGATAGGTTAAGCGCACCTTACTGTCATAATAGGAAAGTAATAGGAAAGTAGACGGGATAGCCGGCTGAGGTGTAACCAAGAGAACCCCAACTAAGCTATTGAAAATCGATGTCAGCGCTGGTTCGTTGCTTGCTTAAGTTAA